ATGGGAATCATATGAGATGCTGCATCTGTAGGGTGAGGTCTCATCTGATAAAGGATGCAGGCTACACTATGTGACCCAGGAAGACCCGCTATGTCATCTTCAGGTGTGCCTGATTCAGCCTGTGACATCCATATATAAGTGAGTGGGACTTTGTTATTCTTATAAACAAACAAACTACACGTCCATGTTCGATATCTCAGTTACCCTCAGTGTCATTTGCTGTAATCCTACTGGCTAATTTTTTCCCTACCATTTTAATTTAATTCATCAATGTATTTCATCCTGTGTGACAGCTAAGTTAGAAAACTAGTAATAGAATGGGACAGCTGAACTGATTGAATTGATACTTATTAAACATTTTTGATCACATAGTTTGCACATGCACTGCTCACCTGTTTAGAATGTGTTCTTTCAGTGGGTGTAACAGCATCCTGCTCCAGGATGAGTACTGTAGTATCTCACCCTTTCCCTTCCACCCTTTGCTATATTAACAATTCAATATACAAGTTTATACTGGATATAGTACATATAATGAACATGCTGACATGTCCAGTGTCGCGCTGTAGTGGAGAAGACATGAATTAGAAGCATGTTAAGTATTTCTCACTAGCTTCTTCTAGCTCACGCTGTACCTCTTTGTTCTCGAGTATCACAGTTGAGGTGAGTGTGTGTATGTGTGTGTGAGATAGGGAGAAGGTGATGTATGTGTGCTGGTCTGCTGGGTGGGGAATGGCAGAGCTCATTTCATATCCAGTAAAGATTGTGTAATCCTTGTGGGGAGAGCAGGACAAAAGAAATGACAGCCACTGTGCTCCACCCATCTCTTCCTCTGTAACTCCATCATCCCTCTCTCATTATTTTCCCGTGTTGTCTCCAGAAGTGCACAGCTGCAGCAGAGGGGGAGGAGAATAGATCGACAGGGAGGAGGGACAGTAACCCTCCCGCTCAGGTCCTTTGTTGTAATTTCATCCAATCTTTTCTTCAAAGTCTTGTTTAAAATGCCCATCCCTGTTCTGCCCTGCTGCATTCAAACAAAAACCAAAATAACACTTAAGAAAGGACAAGAAGCATTAAAGCATATGAACTAATTAGATCAATCCCATATTGGGATCAAAGCATCATTTAGTCTAAGAAATCTTTTTTCTTCCAAGAATGAGAAAACAAGATATCAAGTCTCAGAGCTTTTTTTTTAAGAACCAGTTTGTGGTTTTTAAACAGCACTGACATTAATGTCCAAGTGATACAACTCAGAAACCAAATAATACTCTTATAAAACCTATAATAAAATGTTCCATAGTAGAAGAGTAACATGGATATGCAAAATTGTTTGAAGTATGAAGCTAGGGTTTGGGCTTTTTATCTAGGCAGAAGTTAGGCGTCAAATGTGGGCGGAGTTTAGACTCGGAACCAGGACTCACCAGGACAATAAAACAATCAAAGGTCATACAACCATAAATCAATCTGAACACACCTAAGTTGACAGGAGGGGACTTTACATTGCTCTCTGACCTCACCTGCTCCTTCTGCTTGCTGCATGGAAGAACCTGAATCCTGTGCTCCTTTTTTCCTTCAATGCTCCATCCAATTTGAGCTACAGCCTTCCACCCCCCACCCCCCAACCAAGCAAGCCAAGATAGCCTACTCAGTGTCCTTTTTGACTGGACAGGCACAGCTGTGGGGAATATCTGAACCACCATCGTTCCCCGAGCATGGGCTTCCATGCATGCATTCCCCAATAAGCCAAGGAAGTTGTTCAACCCAACGACTCTGGCCAAGGAGGCTGCAATAAAGATCTCAGGCCTGTCACAGAATCAGGAAGCACTCTATGATGTCTTCTACTGGAGCCTCAGTGCCTTCCCTCTGTTTTAAAGTCAATATATACATCAAAATGTACTCCATCGAAAGTGGAGCTCTGTTTTCAGGAATTATCATGAAGTTCTCAGGATCTCATTGATTAATGAATAATTCATCACACCCTCTCCTCTCGCTATATGTGTGAACACATCTTTCAGACATCCAGACTGTTTTCAAGTGCTTCTGAACATGGCTGCATCCCATTCATAACTAAAAGAGAGCACAGAGCAAGAGACCACACATCCAGAGATCTTTATGAAACACACTGAGTACAGAGACAACAAAATATCTGGTACAACTTAGGCAATACAAACCAATACAACACTACTACAAACTAAAGCATCAAACATTACCACAAAGTTGATTCAACCTTTTATGACACATTCTCAGCAATATTTTCAATCACATCTATACTTCACCTTGTCTCATCTTACTTTCCAATTACTGTTTTTTCAGGCATTATGGTTTTTAATCCCCCAGTCAGTGTCTGGTAACAACAAGCCATGGATAGAGACATCCCATTGGCTGTGTGGCAACACAGAGGAACAGCAGAGTGTCCCTGGGGGCCAGTCGGTCCTGTTCTATTTTAGCCACAATGGCGGCACTAATGCACTCTCTGCGTTTTTCATCACTGCTCCTCTCATTAAACCCAGAAACACAACCCTTCCCACGTCCACTTTGATATGGACCTGTGAGCTGTTTAGACATGAGCTCTCACCAGTGTTGGAGTGGTAACTGGTCACAAGTGAGATATTACATATTGCTTATTACTAGGGATGTAATGATACCAAAAACACATGGTATGATATTGCCACAATAGAAAGTATTTTAGTGAAGAAGTGAGTAAATAGAGTTTCTGAATGGCCACAATGCTCTGCAGCCTGAAATGTTTTTATTTTGATAATATTTCTAGTTTTTATTGAGCTAAAAACTTTGTTTTCAATTGGTAAGACAAATCTGCTGCCATATTTTTTGATGGAGGTTAAGAAACATCATTCCTACAACTATGCCAGATTTTACAATAGCTACATTTCAATGCATAACATACCAGTGTCACATAAATGCTAATGCTTGTATTTTGTTTTCAAACCACTTCTATTCAACTTGGCTTTCAGCCATAGTACAGTATAGTGTATCTACTGTATAACCACTTCGATTACCCTTTTGCATCTGTGCTCTGACAACAAGCAGCTGAATTCTGAGGCATTTTCTGAGTCTTAGGCTAGTGGTTAAGGCGCAGCGCTCTCGCTATAGGGACGCTTGGAGCTTGTGGGGTGAAGGGGATCATCTGAAAACATTTTTTTCTGTTAGCCTCAAAGTGTCCCCTTGCATTAAACCAAGGTAATCTCAGTCAGGAGTCACATAATGAGGAGGGTGAAGCAATAGCAGCCTGATGGTCGAGAAGCAGGTACCCAAAGTGATGGGGGCAGAAAATACTGCTTTTGGCAGTGAGGTGGACCTCAGGTGGCGACAAAGCAGAATCCAAAATGGTTATTAAAAAACTTGTAAATTAAACAAACTTCTCCCCAAGCATCTAATAATTTAAGTTTCAAAATGCAACCACACATTAAGGATGCAACATTTACCATTAAGACCAGAACACTTTGTGGATAATAACCAGCAACCTTTTATTACTACAGAGATGCTGGGACTTACCCCCATAATTTCAGTACAGTTTATTGCAGCAAAACACGAAGGGCCATTAGAAGAACTACATGGTGCTTGCTGCCCACTAGGTGTAAATTGGTGGACTGACTGTGAGTCACATTTGTAAATAAGTTGATCTAACCTGTCCAGTTGTTTCCAACCTGTCTGATCATCTGACTTTATTGTAATGTCACCATGTTCCTAAGGCAATTCACTTAAATTGCCTTAAAAATTACAGACAAAATGACAAAAATAAGACCCAAGTTGTCATTACAGTAGGACAATCACTGAACCCCCAGCTGTTCCAGCTGAGCTGTGCAGGGCTATGGTTACACTGGGAAGTTTCCAACAATGAATGTATTGAAGCCTCATTACTCTGACTGGTATTTACTCCTACACACCACTGCTGTCAATAACAATGTGTCTATAATTGACTTGTTTGTTTAAATAACAATTACAACAAACATGCTTTTGACACATCATACCTGCATACTCAGTCATACAGAGTTTGTGTCTGTGTGGCTCTGAGGAATCAGGCAGCGCACACACACACACACACACACACACACACACACACCTTTCCCTTCAGCTTGTAATAGCAGTAAGCTTCAGAGTCCAGCTTCAGTCCATGGAACCAGTGAATCAGTGTTGCCTTACATTACTCTACATGTTGAAAAATGCTGCTCTCTGATGCATATCGATCAGAAAAATGACTTAATCACAAGTCAGGCCAGCAATGCTTATTAGCTGAGAGCGAATATCAGACTCAGGTCGGATAGAGGAAAATCTCCTTCTGAGACCAGAGGTAAAACAGAATACTGTGCAAAATTATATGAACTACATCTATTGTGCTATATTGGGGGTTTACAACCAGTGGTCCCTGGGCCAATGGTGGTCGTGAAGGCACGGCAGGTGGTCCCTGACTATTTATTCAGTAGTGTAGTTTCCCTGTAGGCATCAGTATTTTGTATTTATTTTTAAACAAATTTCCATGTATTAATTATTGTTTGTGAATAATAAAATTATTAAATGATTATTATTCTTAGTGAGAAAGCTGTATGGCTGAGTGGACCCGGAGCCAAAGGCCCATAGCACTGGCTCCCAGACACCTGCCACTATATTTTACCTGAAGCCACAAACTTGTAGCTACTTCTGTGTTGAAATCTCATCTGGCCCCAAGTTTTCTGGGTTTTAGCAGTTTGACCAAATTTTCACCATGTAGGGCCAACATGATCTAACAGGCCTAAGGAATGGAGTAAGTACAGGTAGACTAAGGAGTCGAACTGCAGCCGTATGGTTACAAATGAACTCATGTAGCCTACATGCTTATTAATGTCGCATTAACACATGTTTTCGGCAACTTATTTATGAAGTAAAATTGTTGCCAATGTAGTGGTAAATGTTAAGTTCTACCCTGGTTCATCCTGTGCGACACTACTTCCTATAGGCTACGAGTCTTTACTTTTTCGAGTAACGAGTCCTACCCCTGCTGAGCCCACCTCCTGCAGCTGCTCCAGCTCCAACCTCAGCGCCTCCTGCTCGGCCTCCAGTTCGGCGTACTGTTGCTTCAGGCTCTGGTTCTCCTCCAGAACCACCAGCCCGCACTCGGCCGCTCGGACCTTCTCGCGGTTGGCCTCCGCCAGCTCCCGTGTTAGGCGCTCCACCTCGGCCCGGCACTGCTCCACCGTGTCCCCGCATCCTGCTCCACCGGCAGCCATCGCCCCTCTCTCCTTCACTCTGCCCTCTCTTCCCTGCGTCGGATGAGCAGAGAGCCCCGTCGGAGGGAGAAACAGCTGAGGTAGACAGCAAACCCACACCGCCTCTCCTCCGAGGAATCACACCGCTGCTTCAAATCTCATGGAAAAAACATAAACATACGTAAATATCCACATCATCCTCAGAGAAAGTCATCTTCTGCCACGTGATGCTCTAAATGATGCAGCTTGTCATCACCCGCTACCCGCATCCTTTCCCCGCCCCCTGTTTCTGCTTATTCACCGGCATCAGGACGCCATCCTTGCCTGCAGCCGTGAAGCAAGGCACACTCCCTGCTCTCTGTCATCCTGCTGCAGACTCACCGTTTGAATCCTCAATGTGTTGACAGCTCTGCCTCACACATTCAAACGAAGGATATCAGGAGCTGTATGCGCCCTCTGGAGCTCAAACTAATCACCTACACAAAGTCCTCTTCAGTTTTAACCATCATTTTTGTTTTCATACTACAAACATAGTGACTATAGGCCTATGCAATTTTAACATATTCAAATTTGAATTGTATAACAATACATCTGAAAAGGGGGTTGCCTAATGTGCAGTAAAGAAGCCTTGAAACAATTCCCAATTTGTGTCCCAACTTTGGTTGAATAAACAAATTCATCCACAGACAGATGCAACAGGGGCAGCAGTACCTGTAGCTGTTGGGTAGAGATCTGTGTCAGGAGGAAACACGCAAACCATGTTAGGCTATAAGGGGCCCTTTGGGACAATAACAAGAAATGTCCTCTCACGTCCACATACTGCACTACACTGAACTAAGGTTTAACCTATTTTAAATCAATATGTGGCAATCAAGGTTTATATTGTGGTGGCTCACCACAAATAAATCAATGTATGGGAAACAAGATCTGCTATAGGCTTTCAACTTTTGTCTACACACTCAGAAAGGTTAGAAACAATTTATTAGGATGATTTGAAATCAGTTTTAAAAATATTTTAGAATATGTATGTAGTGAGCACAAGGTTTCGGGACTAATTAAACAAATACAGAGTAATGGGATGTTGATGAGGACTAAAGACAGAAGGTGGCAGTAATGCAACATTAAGGATGCCAATTGGCATAAAAATCCAAAGAAAAAGACCTCATCTAGGGCTAATAAATCAGTCCAAAACTGTTCTAAAACCAAAATATCTGAATAAGAATGAACTGGATTGTTTTTGTCTGATATTGCCATGTTAGCCCGAATGTATACACACTTGAAGAACAAGGCACTGAACAAGAGTTATGAAAAATCTTGTAAACAGAATAATGGTCTATTACACAATATGCATTTAGTTGGTAGATTATTTTTTTACTCAAAGTTAAAACTAACGCAGTCTAATGCAAATCCTACATTGTGAAGACAATAAAGTTCAGTTTTTACTGAAACTGTTTAAAGAGGTGTAGTTTGTGGTGCTGCTGAGTTAAATTGTTACAAAGAGAGTGGTTTCTATTATTTAGCCTAGCCTCACTGCTATAAATGGGCATTGCAGACAGATAAAAGACACTGGCGAGAAAGGATAAACCCGTGACTGAAGAATTGTCGTTTTTAAATTGAAACAAACTTTGAAAAATTGGCATTTAGAAACAAATATCTGAAATGAAAAATGACATGCAATAAATTGTTACTGTGAAAAGAAGAACCACAGTTCACTATTATGACTCATTTCCCCCCATAATTGTATGGTAATGTTATATATTGGTCACATTTATACATGCAGTTATTGATCTCAAGAATTTTAAGTCAACAGTCAGTTTACCACTTTTAACCTTGTAAATATCACACCGGAAGTATTATCCTTGCTGGGGCCGTGAAACACTGGCTATATCATCTGTGCGGCAGTTACGACATGTTGCACGTTGCTAGTTAGTTGCAGTGTTGTAGCTATTAGCACGATAGCCATTCCTTCGCTGGGAGGTCGGCCTTCTGTTTAGTTTAACACATTTTCTTAGTTCATTCTCACTCATTTATAAGACAACCTGCAACCGACTTTTGGTCAACAGAAATTACTCAACATAATACTAGCTAGCTTGTTTTCTCTTTCTTAGGCCGCTAGCTTACGCAGCTAACTAGTTAGCTAGCTGGCTAGCTAGCTAGCTGCTAGTGTTCAATCGTCTACTCCCTTAGGTTTACGTCTCTCCCGGCTGGAGGACCATGGCGATGAGACAGACTCCGCTCACCTGCTCCGGTCACACCCGGCCTGTAGTAGACCTGGCTTTCAGTGGAATCACACCCTATACGAGTAGCAGTAGCCGAGTGTGGTCTTTATCCAAATTAGCCGCTCTACAAGGACCACTTTCATTTCTCTATTGTTCCTGGAGGGGGAAGCGAGAGCAAGTCATATTCGTTTTCTCTTTTTGTTCCTTTGTTTTTTCTTCTTGGAAGAGACCACTTATTCATTCAGGTCACAACAGTTCATGACATGCAATGGCACAGAGCAACAGCAGTGTGTGCAACAGGTAGCAGCATCTCGTGTGTGCCTTGAGCGAGGCTCATACAAATGTACCAGTCACATGTTCACGTATTCTTTGGAAGCATTTGGTGTACAAACAGTGCACAGAGGAGCCTACAGAAACACTGGGGAACAGAAACTGTACAAATCTCCTACAAATGGTAAACAGAGAGGGAATTACTGGCTACACATGAAATGCATGTATATGTACAGTGTATCCAACCTGTGGTAGAACACAGCAAATACAAACTACACACACTTCAAGCAGTCAATAATACACAGATGTGCCAAAGAATGAGAGCATTCATATGGAAGCTCAGTATACCAGTTAAATTTTGCTTATGCTCAGTAGGACTGATGTAACAGACATTCTTCTGTTTCCCTTAGCTGTTGCACCTGATTGATTATATTTGAAGTACAAATATTGCACTTCACTTTTAGTTGGTTTGTTAAAAACAAAAAGAGGGGGAGAGAGGAGGACAAATGTAAAACTAATACAATGTTTTATTTTTATTACAATTAAATTTTTACTTAAAAATGACAAAAATGATCGTGTATGCTGTCAATTACAGATCTTGGGAGGAAAAAAACAGAATCAGCCAAGGAAATTGCAATTGGTGCATCTCTAAACACATAAGCACAGAGAATTTTTAGTCCAAAAGGGCTTAATGTTTAACATTAGACAGTCGAAGTGTTTCAAGTCCAGACTGACACTTAACTCTACATCGCATCACCTTTGTAAAACATAACTGTGTTAATTTTCCATGTGTCCATGGCTTTATAGTGAAGCTCATTGCTACAGGGTTCTTTTTACCACTGTTAACAGTATTTTTGTTCCTAAATTAGCTATTTGAAACCTTGAATTACAGTGCGATCTCATTAGAGTTTTTCTTCCTAAAAGCCGCCCTTGGGATGCTGAATCTGCTGTTATCAAAGTGAGACAGTCTCTGGTTGACAACAGTGTCACAAGTTTTGTCACAGCTAACATCTGTTGCTACACTGTCCTGAGATGTAACACTTGTATCATCCCTGCTTTTGTTGTCAGATGGCAAACCCATGTTGCGCCAGGGAGACACAGGGGACTGGATTGGAACGTTTCTGGGTCACAAAGGTGCTGTCTGGGGAGCCACTCTGAACACAGATGCCACCAAAGCAGCCACTGCAGCTGCTGACTTCACAGCGTGAGTGAGCCTGGTGTAGAAAGACTGACTGCATGTGTCTTGAAACAAATTTAAAATAACCAATTTATCCAGAATACAGCGTTTTATCTTGAACTGCTGTAATGCATGCAAAGACCTCACATTTGTGATTTGGTCAGTGATAAGATTTCCATCCAGACCCATCCATAAATATCCACTTAGTTATCAGTTTATTAGGTCCACCAAGCTAAAACTGTAGCAGTCTAGTACAACAGTCTTGTAATGAAATCTGTTCAGACGGTTTCAGATGGGTATTGAATCAACAGTATGGTCATTCTAGAGGTGGTAGTTTGTGCTGCTGTTGAACTCTTAACACATTATATACAGCTGTTTCTATTCTTTAGCCCACCCTCATTGATATATATGGACAAAATAATAAAAAACACATGGCAGTGTTTCAGATGGGTATTGAATCAACAGTATGGTCATTCTAGAGGTGGTAGTTTGTGCTGCTGTTGAACTCTTAACACATTATATACAGCTGTTTCTATTCTTTAGCCCACCCTCATTGATATATATGGACAAAATAATAAAAAACACATGGCAGTATGCAGTACAGTTCAACAGCAGCACAAACTACATCCCTGAGAATGATCAACACTGTTTGAACAAAAACTGAACTTGATCACATTCATAATGGAGGATTAAATGATTAAGTTTCAGCTTGATGTACCAAATAAATTGACAACTAGGTGTGTATTTTAAGGATGTTTAAACTGCTGTGTTCCATCTAGACATGCAAATTACAAATGGTCAGCCCATGTTAATTAGAACAAACTGGAAATTATATCAAAATGTGAGTATAAGATGAGACAAAATTTGTCCTGGCTCCTGGGCCCTGTATCATGAAGCTAGGTTAGCGGGTTACCCAGCTGCCTTTGGGCTTATTTCAGGTTGTAAAACACTTAAACAGCTCTTCTGCTGTTCAGTGGAACAAAAAAAGACATTATTCTTTAAGCATCATGGTGTGGAAAAGTACATAATTTAAAGTAAAGAAAAATGAAGGCATTTAATCAACTATTAGTCAGTGTGCCTACTGTGACAATTATGTTAGAGATTGAATAGTAGTTTCCCTCACACTGGGTCTACAACAGCCGGATACACCCAAGTGTCTGAGCTATAGAATTCCACTGCTGTTTTAAAAACTACAGTGGAGGACATGTTCCTCTATTCCAAGCAGTAGCTCAAAAGGCCTTTCACTGTGTTGGCAGCACAGGAGTGCAGCAGTGAGTAGCAAAATAATGCAGGAAAAAGAGTGTTGCCAGCTCTCTCTAAGGTTGGGTCACTGATGCAGTTTAAAGCTCATTTGCTGTTGAATGTGTATCTGAATTTTAATCTCATGATTTAATTAGTATTCACATTGAAACTGTACTCGCTTCTCATTAAGCAGAGATCAGGCCATTTTAATAAATAACTCTGTTTTGATGTTTGCTGTTGTTTGGATACTTTGTGCAATTTCCACAAAGGATACCTTCTTATCTTCATATTTGTATCTTCATTAAAAAAAATTTCCAGTCACTGAACAAATTCAGCTTTCAGGCACATTGCATGCAAAGATGTGATTAAATCATTAACCACATAAGCTATTGGCAATTAAAAGGTGACTTCTGTGCTTTTCAGGAAGGTGTGGGATGCAGTGAGTGGAGATGAAGTCCTCACACTGGCACACAAACACATTGTTAAGACTGTCAATTTCACTCAGGTCAGTGCACTTCCTGGATGAGGATGTGTTGTTCAAAGAACATGTTTATGAGTCTGATTAATATTTATGTAAATACTCTGTATGGTTTTGTTTTTCTCTATGTTCCATGGCACGTGGTATGTGTAACATTGTCATCATGCTGGTGCTTGTGATTCTGTGGACACATTTTTGTGAATGTAATAACTCAAGAATGATACATACTGTAGTCTGCACATCCCCCATATGAAGTCGATGGTCTGATTAGATTTTGGAGAACTTTGCTGCAAAAAGTTGCATATTAATGAGGGAACATTGATTTCCCAGATATAATTTAAACAATTTCAGATTAATACAGTTATGTATAAATGTATGTGTACATTTTCATACTAAGGAAGTAAACTTTTTTTTGTAAGTATTAGTGATGACAAACTTCTAGTGTTGTGAGTATACATGTTATATTGTCATTGAGGTTATGCTGGGACATTAGGCAAAAATACCACTTGTTATGTAGCTGGAATAATTTCATTGGTATATTTCTTAGCTGCTGTTGTCTCTCCTGCTTCTCTTCCTCAGGACAGCAACTGTCTGCTGACTGGAGGAAATGATAAGCTGCTGCGCATCTATGATCTAAGCTGTCCTGAAGCAGGTAAGTCCATGTGTCAAAGTAAACTTGCCTGATTGAATAATGTGATATGTTAACATATTTCTTAAGGAATTCTTGTAAAATCAGTGGCATGTGAAAGACTGTGTAGTTCAGTGAACTATAAAAAGGAGAAATGACAACGTTATCCCAGTCAAACACTGACACTGGTTTAGTTTTTGCCTTCTCATGCACTTGACTTTTGCATCTTTGTGTCCTTCAGCACCGCAAGAGATTGCAGGTCACTCCTCAGCCATAAAGAAAGCTTTGTGGTGTAATGATGACAAGCAGATCCTCTCTGCTGCTGAGGACAAAACCATACGGTCAGTGAAGTGACTTCTCACACTTTTACCTTTGTCTGTATATGACGAACCTTAAGCCATCTCCTGACTGTGGCTTCGCTTTGTTCTGTCACATAGACGAACACTTGTCTCTGACAGAAAACACACCAGACTGTTTGGGTATTCTTACTTGCATTTGTGTGACCAGGCTTTGGGACAGGAGCTCCATGGAGGAGGTAAAGATGCTGACATTCGACACATCTGTAAGCAGCATGGAGTACATGGCTGATGGAGAGATTCTTGCGATCACATATGGAAAGACCATCGCTTTCTATAATGCTCTGAGGTACACTGCACTCTTACTATACAGTACATATTCAAGAAACAACAGATCCATATTTTGGAGAGCCATCTCAGAACTGCCACTTATATCAGAACGCTTATCTTTCTGTTCTTTTGGTTGGTGAACATCAAAATTGTGCATTACAACCAAGGAGTGTGAATAATTTGCTTCATGCAGTGTAATTAAATACAAAATGGAGGTGTTGTCATTGGCTGGTGTTTATGGTGTCAGTTTGATCAAAATATAGAAATCTTACCTTTTGTTCAAGGCTTGCAGCAGTTCTTGTGCTGCTGCTTTGGGACCATATCATAATTTAATTTCCTTGCAGTCATCTGACCACAGAAATATAAGCGAGTGACCACACCTTTGTTTCACGGACAGCTGTACTGAAATGCTGCTCTATCCAGGCATGAGATGAGGTTTATACTGCAGATGCAGCTTCTCCATACTCACATAAACCAAGTATCAGAATGATTGTCTTATCATAGATGAGCACAGTTGCAAGCATCACACGATAACAAAAGCGGATTTCATCCAGTAGATGTAAAAACCTTCCTGACTATTGCTCTGTGATGACGATGATGGTCGTTGTTGTTTACATATTCAGCCTGGATTTGATCAAGACTGTGGAGGCACCAGCTCCCATTAACTCAGCCTCCCTCCACCCAGAGAAGGACTTCTTTGTTGCCGGTGGAGATGACTTCAAGCTGTATAAATTTGACTACACCACTAAGGAAGAGCTGGGTGAGGATCATGGATAAGCTTAAACTCAAGACTCTAGGGTTTTCTTAGACAGAAACGTAGTCTGTTTAATGTTTATGATATTTTTTTTTAAAAAGCACATAATATAAAAGATATATAACATAAAACTGGACATTCAAATGACAAGTGGTTTCCTGTTGCTGTAGCAAAGATAGGAGAAAAAAGGCTCAAAAATTGTTAAAGAGCTTTAAAGACTAATCTTTAACCACTTCTCCAGTATTGTAACTTTGTCTCCTATCTACAGAGTCCTATAAGGGTCACTTTGGTCCAGTGCACTGTGTTCGCTTCAGCCCGGACGGTGAGCTGTATGCCAGTGGCTCTGAAGACGGCACACTCCGACTGTGGCAGACGGCCGTGGGGAAGACCTACGGCCTGTGGAAGTGTGTCCTTCCTGGTAACTGTCCAACTTTGACCATTCATTTTTGTAGTCACTGCTGTTCAAATGATCTGGAATACACAATGTCAATATTGTTGCATCGAATTTTTAAAAAAGAAAAAATGTGAGCACCATGTCTACATAAATAATAGCATCATTTGTGTGACAAATTGTGACATTTCCTCAAACTGCTCAGTTACAATATGTTCTTTCTAACTTGGCTTGATCTGAAGTTTCTCTGGAAATGTCCAACAAATGTGAAACTTCCCGGTCTCTCCGCTGACCCGTCGTTGTTGTTGCTCTTCTCTGTTTATTTTTACCAGTCTGTGAGAGGCTAACACTGAATGATGATGACAGGTGATATGTGCAGAGGAGTGCGACTTTTAAAAAAGTATTCTGATTTGACATTCTGATGGCAGTCACGTAGTCAGATTGCACATCGATCAGATTTAGGACCACACCTGATTTAAAAAAAAAAAAAAAAAAAGGTATTGATTTGTTCACACTTATTAAAAAGATCAGATCTGAGTCATGAGGAGGAGGTGGGAAAAAAAATCAGATTTGAACCACTTTAGCATCTAATGTGAACATTGCCATGGGGTAAATCCCAATTCCTTTAATCCATTTTCTCTCACTCACAAGAGGAATCGAGCAAACACATTTTACAGAGATGAGGTCTTTTTCCTCTGATCCTTCATTTGAAGTATCCAATCATACATTGATTTCTGATAAACTGGCATGAGCCCATAAAAGACTTTCGCAAAGGATGGTATCATGTATTGACTGGAAAGACTTCTGCAGTGAGCAAGGTCTGATGTGCTCTAAAATAAAGGAATTGGGATTTATTGTAGAATCCTTCTAGCAGCTATTTCAGAATGCTTTGCTTGTTTCTTTTTATCAGTGGTTTTGTGTGCCAGCAATATTGTGGCATACCCAGTCATCAGTATAATTTTATAAATTCTTTCTACTTTTTTTGTCTTGCGTTACCCCTCAGAGGACCTGGGGGCAGAGAACTCTGAACAGCTGTACACCTCGCCCACTGAGATCAAAGCTTGAGAAGACACTTGTTTAAAAAGGGATGAGAAGAGAAAAGAGGTACCGAAAGGAGATGAGAGGAGGGGTGTTGAATTGTTTCCTATCAAGCACCAGCAAGGAGCGGAGTCCAGAGCATCTCCATCCATCAGGAACTGATGTGGGTATAACTGCCCTGTCTCCTGTCTGTCATAGACCAGCCATCTCTGACACACAGATTTTTTTTTTTTTACGTAGCCATAGGGACAGTACTATGGGCTGGAGAGTAAAGCAGTAGAGCTGTGAGTATCTGTGGCTTATCGCTGCCTGCTTTCTCTCTGGTCAGCCCAGTTTCTGTCTGCTGTTGCCCCCCTTCCCCCATGAGCTGAAGAGCGAACTGCTGGCTCACAACGTGGAGCTTCCGAGCGGCAACCCCACCAAGGACGTGTATGTGCAGCTTTATCTGAAGAATCTGACCGCCCAAAACAAGAAACATGTCACGGCCACGACTTTGGACGCTTTCTCCAGCGACGAGGAGCAGCCGCCGCCCGTGGTCTCCAACAGAAGTCGTTCCTCGGGCAGAGTGAGTTTGTTATCCGTTTCTCAGTAGACCTTAATTCCACCATTGTTTGCAGACGCTTACGCCCCGCTAGGAAACAAGGCGGCCCAACTTTTCAGTAAGTTAATTCAAAAGTTGGGTTCTCCCCCTTTAGAGTAGCCCATCATAGTTGTGTGAGTTACTATATATATATATATATATATATCCACATACTCAAGCAGGGACATTATTTACGACTGCAACTAACCAATTAGCAAATAATTACTTTGTGATGGATTATTTATTAATTGATCTATCAGTCGTCATCCTGGGGAATCCTTTCTGTTCTCTGTCAGGTCGCCTGATACAACCTGGACCCCAGTTCGGAACAAAGGACTTGTAACGAATCTGTGCCCAAACCTAATCACTTCACGTCAGATTCACACGATTCAACTTTCACTTCCCCCACCAGATGTTTCCCGCTTTACGTGCTGGACGAGTGTTTTCACCGTTGTTGGTAGCAACAAAGCTAGAGCAGTCTTAGATTTCTCTACTACTGAAACCGGTTGTTTTCTGTTGCTGTATCTGAAGTGCAGACCGGGTGAGGGGTTTCTCCCTCAGCCTGTTAATCTTTAGCTTTTTTAGATCCTCACCTGAGACATTGAAGATGCACCTGTTACCTCAGCCTGCGCTGCTTCTCTTGTCTGATGCTGTTTGATATATAAAATAGCCTGTTTTTACCAATAAATATTCACTATAATAATGAAATAACGTTTTTTATATAACTAATGGTTCTATTATAACCAGCAGACAGCCACTGGTGTGTGAAGTAATTTTGGTAACACTACACTAGTTAAAGAGTAAAGTTCTTGAATATTTTGAGATCAATGTTATTTGGACCAGGGGAGCTCATTTTAATACAAATGAGCTTGTAGGTTGTTGTCTTCATTACTACGAAACAAAAGAGGTGTCCCTTGTATTTTGGCAATGTTTCGCTGTTGATCCAGAAACTTTGATTCTGTGAATATCTTTCCAACTTTACCGAAGTCAGCCACTATAACATGACATTTCCATGTAAGGAGAGCTTTAGATTGTCCCCTCTCTTAAAGTAGGTCAAGCATATTGTAATGATTTAATATGAATTCACTCCAAAGGTAATGTGCACAGGTTTGCTCAAATATTGGTAGGGACATTTCTATCTTTCCAAAATAATGGTAGGGATATGTCCCTTCCGTCCATGTGTAAAACGGCACCCTTGGACTCGCTACTTACTTTACCTGAAATTAAAGGTACAGCAGCAAAATACTTGAAATATTTATGAAAGTACCAAAAGTAAAGTATTCATTGTGCAGAATGACACTTTCCAAATGAATATATATTATATTATTGTACTGCATTATAATGACCGATGCATTATGTTCTGCACTTTAATGCTGAAGCTGGTAAAGTTGAAATTAATTTTGCCTATGCTGCTTCGATGAACATACGTATGTTTTAACTGCTGGGTGTTTCAAATAAAGTATGATTATGCTGCATTTGTTTTATTAATTTGCTTCTGAAATGTAACTAAAGTCATCAGATAAACCGTGTGTTGATCCTGATTTGGACTTAAACAGGTGCGCAGTGGATATGAATGGTTTTGTTGGGGGAGGAGAAGCATGTACATGATGACTGAATGAAGGGTGTGAGCAAAACAAAGTGGTGACTGAAAATGACATGTCCCACTTGTGGCAGGCAGGTGACTGCATGCTTCTCATTCATTCACTGCTTTTTGTAATACAGAAAAACACCTGTTTGTACAGGTGTCATGCTGCGTATTTTCTTCATCTGAAGATTTACATTCATGTCTCTTCCTCTCTAATCTCACAGTTGGGAATTTTAGGATTCACTGGACTGGATAAAAGTAATGATTTTTCGATTAATTGCAATTCTTATTCGAACAATTTATGACATCCAAGATCAATCTTTGCACGTTTTGTGAGAAACATGCAGTAAATGTTGTGTGTGCTCAGAAGTTACTTGTTGTAAGTGGTTCAGTTTGGGTTGCACGATGTGTGAAAGAAGTCTTTGTGGGGAAAGGTGAGTGACACACCTACAACAGTAACAACAATGTAATTTGTGCAATGGTCAAATTGTGCAGTTTGGCATGATCATAAGTGTCTCCATAAATCTTAAAGGAATAGGTAGGGATTTTTAAAGTTGGTGTTAAAATACTATTGATGTATTCCTCTGTATGTGAGAAGAGATCTTGGTCGTTGTCACTTTTCCAGCTCTCCACACTGACCCAGAATATTTCCACCCAGTTTGTCTGAGGCTCAGATGCAGCTTCAGCTGTCCCACTGAGCTAATTCGAGTTGCTATGTTTCAAAGTTGCAGGTGATTTAAAACAAATTTCCCTGGACTGTACTGTGCTGTGGTGCAGGGATGTGTTAGAGTAGTTCTAAGTTTTAGCTACTGGAGTTGCGCTCGGAGTTAACGTGGAAGAGAGTTTATACCTTGAGTGCTGGAGTATTTTTGGTGTTTGTGATTTTGGGACACCAGTAAAACCTACTCTTATTTGGATTATATTTGTGTGCGTGTGACATCTCAGAGTCGCTCCTGTGTTTCTATTTATTCATGCTTCATCTGCGTTTCACATGAAGGAGAACATGGTTTGTGTCAGCGTTCATCTGGTATGTTCTGAAATAAACAAGTAATGGGCAAACACATCCCACAGATTTCACCTGATGATGCTGTTTCCAAAGCTGAGATTGATGCAAGTATTTGGAGCCCATTTTCATAGTAGGATAGGTGCTGTAAGAGAAACTGCACAGCTGTGCTGTCACCGGTGAAGCTAACAACAGCTGACAAGGGGGTACGTGCAAATAAATGTATAATGCGGTGTTATCAATCCAACAAACTAAAGATAGCTGTGTGCAAGATATTGTTGCTAAAAAGGCCACAGTGATGACCGTCAGCAGTTCACCTACAGTGTAACAGTGACACTGACTCAGCTTTATAGAAACAAATGTTAGTTTATGCTATTACATCTCACAGAGCCATATAATGATAAACAAGAGATTGCAATAATGATTATACATTTATTTCAGAGAGGAAAAACTAGTTGCTGTATTAGAACTTAGAGACTGCAGTAACATATACCTCAGCAGCAGCATAGCAAGATGCTGTCCAGGGAAATAAGAGGTAAAATTATTTTAAGTAGACTATAACTTTAAAATGTACTGGTGCAAATTAGCTCAGGGGGACAGCTGAAGCTGCAGGTCAGCCTCAGACAAACTTTGGAGTGCGTGTTTTTACGGAACGTGAGTTATGTAGTTTGTCCCTTTTTATTTATTTTTGCAGTGTAGAGGTGTTCCAGGTGGAAACATTCAGGGCCAGTGTGGAGAGTAGAAGTGACAACAACTGAGATGTGTTCTCACGTGCATAGGGATACGTCAATATTGTTTTAACACCAACTTGGAAAAATCTGGAATTGTTCCTTTAAACATAAGTAAAATGTTTACAGTTTCTTTACATCACTTTAACATTGGATGGCCTGGTTGTGAGCTGTCGTGTGAAAGAACAAGTCGAATCAAAGAGCTGGTTTTAAAGTTTTCTTTTCTTGGTAATCATACAGTTGAGAAGTTATCATGTAACATCCAGAAAGCAGGTTTAACCAACTCTGAGCCAACCATGAACTCTGAGTTGACCGATCCTGAGCCGACGATCTCCACACCATCTGATCAGAGCTAAATCAATCAACTTAACTATGGCCATTCTCAGTTTAGCATGTGCATTGTGAATGCAAAAAGGCCATTATGAAGAGCGCTCAACTGTGCTGGTAGTAACAGAGGATAAACTAAAAAACAAATGACATTTATTTAAAGCTCTATTGTTGCAACCTTATGGACTGAACTAGTAATTATAATTTTGGTCTTGGCTGCATCCAAGTTGAAACTGAGTAAGTTTTTAGATGTCTATTTTACATTCCTGAATTAGCATGTAATTTACATTTGCATTAAACACTATTGCTGTAATGCTGAATGTGGAAATGAATGTGTGAATTTTGTAAAATGGATTGTGTTTTATACTGATAAGAGGATCTATTTTTGAGTAAATCTAGGTTGAGCAGTTTTAAATGGCAGAGCAGACTGAAGTTCTAGTTCAGTTGGTGCTTTTGTCTTGTTTGGGTTGGCCTCTCCACTGAGGAAATATTCTCTTCAGGAAGAGGAATTTGTGCATAGCTTGCCACCATGTATTTAGTACAAGCTCTGTCCCTTTCATTCTAAGGTACTTTGGTATTGTATTGTTGAAGTTTTCGGATGAAACGGAATCCTCACATGTCTGAGTGATAATAGGCTGTAGGTAAAAGGTGGAGGTGGACATGCAGCTCAAAAATAATTTCCTGACATTCTTGAAATAGCTTAAGTGAGAGAGGCTTTTCAGAGTGGACCTTCAAGGCTCAAATGCTTGAAATTTCCCATTTTAACAGTCTGTGCTGGTAAGATTTAAACGAATGAGCTGAGGTTTCCTTGCTTAGCCCACTATTCCCCTGCCTGCTGCTGCTGAAATTTGGTAAAGGTAAAACTGTAGAGATGGTGAGCAGCTGGTAGATATCTCTCTGAGCCTCTGCTCTCTTGTGAAATACCACAAGGCAGTGTTTTTGATAGTCTTGGGCCCTCTCCTCATTTTGTTTTGATATTATAATGATATGAAAGCTGCCTGCACAAGTTGGTTATGTTTATATGCAGACAGTTCAATTATCCTGTTGTATGATCTGAAGACAAAGGTTCAACAGGTCAATCGACTAAACAGAATAGGGAAATGGTGGTCAGATAATGGGCTTCTTATACACTTGAGGCCAGTTCATACTTTTTTGCGTTTGACTGTCTGCTACAGTCCAGTGACAGAAATTTCCAGATCTACCCAGGTCTGCAAGGGTCCGCTAGGCTTTTTTGTGGATGTCTGCGTGCAGGCCGAACATTTTTGTCTGTTCAACAAAAAGTTGCGACAGTGCATGTGTGACCGGTGGACTTCTGCGTTGTGTTGTGCTGGGGCGTGTGTGG